TCGTGTGGGAGCTGGGGACGGGATGCTGGTCTTTGGAAGACTACTGGGAGAGTAGGACCATGCTCTGAACTATTGAGCCGTCTCTCTACTCTCCTCAAATTCTTTAAACAGTCTTTCCTTTTAAGATTTTTTTGGACAGCTAAATAGTCTTTATGAACATGTTTTGTGGGTGCTCAGGCCAGTAAATCAGGTTGCTGAGAGAGGGCAGCAAGCTGAGAACCTGAGGTTACAGTGATTAGCTCTTCAAGCCGTCCCTGCCGTCCTTCCCATCACTGTTATAGACACCATATTCTTCCAGGTGGTGTCCTGCTAAAGACACCGCTTACTAGCTTCCCTTACTGCTAGGCATGACCAAGGAGAGGCTGTAGGAGGGAAATGGGGGCTACGTGGGCTGTGTGCCACACCCATTTCTGAACCTTACCCCAGTCACTGCAAAGGATCACTGCCGTCTTTTTCCTCTGACAATCTTGACCGTTCACCCAGAAGAGAGGTTGCCCCCTTGCTACATACACCCAAAAGAAAGCCTCTTCGGCTGAATGGTCAAGCTTCTCTCTCTCTCTCTCTCTCTCTCTCTCTCTCTCTCTCTCTCTCTCTCCACATGCCACAGAATTCTAACATACGTAATCGGGAAAATCTGAGGTCACAGGCAGGGTGCTCCAAGCCCTCCTCAACATGGTTAGACCTCCATCTCCCTTATCCATTGGGCCTGGCAGGGTCACCCATCTCTCTCAGACAGTCATTATTTTCCATTCTCTATTTCCATCCTTCTCGCTGCTCACTTTTCTCTGTCTGTCTCTGACACAGTGTGTGACAGAGACAGGAGACCATGCCCAGACAAAGCCATGCAGGCAACACAGTCAAATATCTAGACAAGGTAATTCACGCACTAGAGGCTCATGGGAGCCCCACTCCATCTTGTCTCAAGAGTCACTTGGTCTAAGGTTCCAGGGACTTCTCACCTACTGAGGGATACTCTATCATCACATTCACAGCTTTGGAAAGTTACTCAGGATATCCAAGTGTGATTAGTGGAAATCTTGCTAGACACTCCTTTGAAAATGGTGCTGTATGATTCTGTTTCTCCTCTAAATTGTCCATTAGATGGTGACTCTAACTGACTTATTTTACAGAGCTTTCAGGTGCTTGTTTCTTGTGCAGGAGTCTGATGTAACAAAGAACTAATTAGTCACCTTATCCTTCCACAAGAACACGGTTCAGCCAGTTGTTCAATTGCATTTAACCTTATGTCAACTTTATATTTAACCTTGTATTGACTTATGGTAATCTTGATGTAAAAAAAAAGTCCTCATTAACTTTAACATTCCCTGCAAGGTTATACCTGCTGGCGTATGTTCTGGATATTTGCCATCTGTTAAGTTCTATCCTGGCCCCGTGGACGGATCCATGCTTCTACCCTTTTCAAAGTGAAGAAGTTACAGAGATTGGTGCCCCCCCCCCCCAAGAAACCCGGAAAGCAGTACAGGTGACCTCTGAAAGTGGAGCTTACAGGGGTGGGCCTCCCAACTCTTCCCTCTTTTTGCCACCCTACCACTGCTTTCTGGACTCAAAACTAAAACAGCTGAACTTTATCTAATTTGCATCAGTTAACCCTTCTGTCTCCAGCTCTCAAAACCCCTTGAAACAATCTCAGGTCAGTTTAACAGCCTTCACGACCAGCTTGATTCTTGATCTACCACAGCTAGGGAAGTCTCTGTCTCCCACTCTCAGCATTTCTTAGATGCCTGGGGTTCTTTGTCCACGCTACTAGACCAGCGTAATTCCTACTGTGTTCTCGATATCTATCCTTACACCCACAGGTAAGTATAGCTCTCGACCCTCACAAAGAAAACTCTTTGCAACAGACAAAGGCAATCACAGAAAACAACCCGTGATCCAAAGCAGAGCTGTGGAGCCTAGTCTCAGCCGATGCATCTACAACACACGTCATGTACCTCCACACCTGAGGCTCACAGAGCATTGCAGAAGAGAATCCAAAAGGATTGTGAGAACCAGAGGAACAGGAAGCTTGCTGTGAGGTGGTGTCTTCTGGAAATGTCAGAGGCTAGGCCCAGGAAGGCTCACCAACATGGCTACCTAAATAGGTCATAAACAAAGATGATGCCAACAGACATGTCAACATGGAAGGGGGAAACTCGGGAGGCCTCAATCCCAGACAAAGAACTATAAGCAGGGAAGGTGGTCTTGCCTTAGACTCCAAAGGTCAGGCAGAGAAATAACCCCCTTAATAAGATACTGGACTTTTCCTTCACAGAGTTCCTGCCCCATGGTGGAGTCCCTGCAAGCCACCAGGAGACTGTTGCAAGGTTTGCTGGATCTGCCCACTTTCCTTACTCAGAACAATGCAGCTTTTGTTTTTCCTGTTTTGTCTCTCGCCTCCTTCTTTAGTATTCTTTCCCTGATACTTCGAGCTTTCCTCTCCTAGTCTCTGAAGCTCCCTCCTTACCACACTGCCACCTTCTCCACAGTGACTAAACGCCATGCCAATTTAACTCAAAAAGTGAAAAACAAAAATAAGCATGGCCTCCTTCTCCCCTTGATTCCCCATTCTGGGGAGTTGTTGAGATTTAAAACTTTCTTTCCCGAAGGTACATTTTTTAAAAACACTGATAAAATTGTTCTCAAGACTTTTTTTTAATCTCTCTCTCTCTCTCTCTCTCTCTCTCTCTCTCTCTCTCTGTCACACACACACACACACACACACACACTTCCCTGGTTCCATGTGGCACCTAGGCAAGGGGTCCCCCAGACTTCCAGAGACAAGGGTTGGTGATAAGCCTTCACTAGCATAAATCAGGCATTTAGAGATTAGGAAATAGGATTTTCTTTTGTTCTGTGACCCCACCCCTGGTGGGAGCCGTCCTCACCACCTCAACTCTGATAACCAGTTGGCCCCTGCTGCCACAAAGTAACTTGCAGCACACTGCCCATAAACCCTATTTGAATGCTCGGCCTCCTGAAAGAGCCAGAGTTAGTGTTAGCAACACGGCCCAGGAAGCTGCCATTTTAAAACTGCATGGCTTTTTTTTTTCTGCTACCACTGAATCAGGAAAACCTCTCTTAAGGAAGCTGAAGCATGCTGCCAGTAGAAAAAAAAATGCAACTAAACTTTGTTTTTCTGTGTCTAGAGTTCCTTTCCAAGCTTTCTCAGGTTTTACATGGATATTGTCGACCATGTTGGAGCACTGATTTGTAGAGGGGAGGCCAATTGT